TTACATTATCTCGATTTTTATTATGCAAATCGACCTAGGGTGATTATGTGATTATGATAGCATACAAGGAATTACCAAAATATGTAATAATAACGAAATAGATTTCGATGGATCTAGATTTTATGGAAACGATGAAAATGAAATTGACATGGATTTCATCAATAAGACAGTGTCTGAACTTAAATTTAACCTTTGTGATGTTGAAATAAAAGTGCCCACTCCTCTTAATGAAGGACTAAAAATTCATCAATTAATAAATAAAGAGGGTCTTCAGGAAGAAAGAATGAAAATGAGAAAACAAGCTTGGGAATGTTTTGTAGAGAATGCAAAGCTAGGAAATTTTGTTGCAAAATATTGGAAAGGTTATTATTTATAGGAAGGTTATTATGTTGATAAAAACAAAGAAGAAGCAATAAAGCTTTTTAAAGAAGCTGCTGATAATAATGTTACTAGTGCTCAACTACATTATGCTTTTGCACTTTTAGAATCAAATACCTCTGCAACAAAACAAACTCAAGAAGAGTTTATTAAATATCTTACATTAGCTGCTAATAATTGTAATCATTATGCATTATTTCACCTAGGTGATATGTATTTAAATGGAAATGCAAAGTTTCATGTTGACTCTGATCGTGAACTTGCTATTAGAAAGTTGAAATTGGCCACTTCTCTTGGAAATTCCAATGCAAAAGCATTGTTAAAAAAAGTGGGTGAACTAACTGAATAAGAATAATAATGATAATATAGTTATTTTTTTCAAAAATAACCTGTATTTTATTTTTTATTTTTGGTTACAAAGTTATATATTATTACATTATATCAATAGGTTAATAATTAATGTGTTTTTATATTTATATTTATATTTTATGTATTAATAAGTATATAAATAAAATCTAAGACACAGTTTTGTTTAAATTTTAATTAAAAAATTGGTTTAACTGTTTTATATTCATATTAGATGATATATGTCCTTTTCTATTTTTTCGCGACTGTTTTGTGGACTGCGCATTTCCAGTATACTTCAGAGTTTTGATTCACATTACATATATATATTTTAGCCGATTAAAAGATAACGATAAAAATTTCCATAAAAATTTCTATTAACGTTAACGTTTAACATTAGTTATCTAATTTTTATAATGTTGTGTAACAGTTTATCGGGATCTCACGATGCCCCAAATGAAAGCTAACATTCTTACTATCAGATTAAATACACGTCATAGTATTTCAGCATCAATGGATGCTGAAATAAATCACATGATTAGTCAGTTAAGTATCAATATTAAAAAGCCCTATGCTTTTTATTTTAATCTACTAAAGCTATAAAAATATTCTTTTAATCATGACATTCAAAAGGACATACTTTATTTTTCGAACATTAGAAGATGGTGAGATTGTAATGAAAAATCCTTTATATCCTAATGCTCAAAAAATGAGTATGCCCTTTTGAATGTCATGATTAAAAAGTATATTTAAATAAAAAGGCATAACGATGAGGCTTTTTAATATCGATACTTAACTGACTAATCATATGACATATTTCAGCATCCATTGATGCTGAAATATTATGACGTGTATTTAATCTGGCAGTAATATATAAATTGGTTTTATTTTTACTATAAAAAAAATTTAATCTGGCAGTAATATATAAATCGGTTTTATTTTTACTGTAAAAGAATTTAAATATTCTAATTTAAGAAATTATAACTAAATATTTTTTTATATTCTTCATTAGTGACACGTGTCATTGAAAAGATCTTGTTGCAAAAATGAATAATATTAGTTATCCGGATACATCAATAAATTTTAAATTAAAGCTTCTATTTGGAAAGATATTGTTCTTGATATTTATGGTAATTCCTTGTATGCTATCATAATCACATAATCACCCTAGGTCGATTTGCATAATAAAAATCGAGATAATGTAA